TTTGTTGTGAAAACAACTTCTAAAAATTCGCTCTCTCAAAAATAAAATTAAACAGACAAAAGATACGCCGATTAAAAAATGTATATCGTTTAAAAGTACAGTTGTACATTGAATGACACAGTGATATAAAAGTACGGCTCAGGGGTATGGCTTCCTCTCATATTTTTGCATTTGGTGGCGCACTTTCGGTGAGAGTCGGAAATCCGGAAACAGTCGACCGTTTCAGGATAGGTGGGCGTGGCTACAGCACGGGAAATATCTCAAATTTACTTGGATACGAGTAATCATTTTCAGCAAAAAAATCAATAATTGCCCATTTCAGTGGGGCACAGATCTAAAATGGGAAGCGTGTGGGTGGGCATTGCACAGGCACTTTAAGTATTCATGAGAAACAAATGTCCCAACATGTCTATGATTGATTGTATTCCTGAAATAAATACTTAACTAGTGGCATTCAAGGCAATGGTATTCATGGTTTTCATGAATTGTAAGAAAGGTTTTAATCTTATGTCTGTAACATCTTATGTGGAATGTAGTTACAATCAACATTCAACTTGCGTCGTCATCCTGATGCAACTCGAAAGCATCTGTTGTAGTTATCATACATTCACCAGACAATTGTTTTCTTCTTTCATTCAAGGTACAACCATGAAAAGTACAGTTAAGAGCACAATGATTGGACGTAGACGAGCAAAAGATAATGAGAGAACTCATCTGTTAGTTGGTAACGAAGATGACATAAGTATAAATGGAACAACTTCAATAAACGCAGACAGGTATGAAAATGTTACCTTAGTGACATCTTCAACAAGTTTAGGAGCAGCATCCCAAGGTGGAAGTTCTGCATCCTCCACGTCGCCGCCAGTATACGTTAGTGCTGAGGTGCACTTTGAAGAATGTGAAGATGGTGTATTGGTGGATATTATCGAGACTTCGTCAGATGATCATGGTAGAAGTTTGGGCAATGACCGTGATACAGAAGGGCCAACTAAAGATGAAGTGTAATCATCAGACAAACTTGAAAGATGTTCAGAAAAGTGATTCTTTGCAATCATTGATAGATTTTAGGAACCAATTGTTTTTATCTTCTGAAATACAAGTTGTGATTTATTTATTTATTTATTTATTTAGTTTATTTATTCAAATTAAGTATGCATATATTTTAACAATCATCTCACACTCTAAAGCAAAGCATTGATAACATAATGCGAAAAGTTGTGCGTGTAATCATTGCTATTCAATCAAACTTCTCACATTACCATCTTCATCTGTAGCACATGTGTGACCCAAATAGTTTACTAAGTTCAGGAATTAAAATATCGAATAATTTTAGAAAATACTGCCAGACAATACAAAAACAATTTTGCCTTGTGACGTGCAGCCCTAATTTGGGCTATATAGTTATATAATACATTTTGTAGTTTTTGAGTGGGCATTAGTCTGTGTATACCTTGACCTGTTTTATGAATATTTAGCTCCGCTGTCGACTTTGTCGAGCGGAGCTTATCATATGAGTGATTGTCCGTCGTCCGTTGTCGTCGTCCGTGTCAATGTTTTACTTTTTCGACTTCTTCTTGAAAACTACAAGCCTGAATGCTTTCATACTTGGTGTATATGTACTTTGGATAGACCTCACTTAGGTTTGTTCATTTCATGTTGATATCTTCAATTCTCTAATTTTGGTGAATATATTTGTCATTTTTGGTAAAAAGTGATATTTTCGACTTCTTGTTAAAAACCACAAGTGCAATTGCTTTTATATTACATATATAGGTACTACATGTGGACCTCTCTCAGATTTGTTCATTTTGTAATGATATCTTTAATTCTCTAATTTTGGTGAATATTTTTGTCATTTTTGGTAAAAAGTGTTATTTTCGACTTCTTGTTAAAAATCGCAAGTCCAATTGCTTTGATACTACATATATAATTACTACATGTGGACCTCTCTCAGATTTGTTCATTTTGTGATGATATCTTCAATTCTCTAATTTTGGTGAATATTTTTGGTAAAAAGTGATATTTTCCACTTCTTGTTAAAAACTGTAAGTCCGATTGCTTTGATACTATACATATTGTTCATTTTCTAATGATGTCTTCAGTTCTTTAAATTGAAATGTGCATTGCTAACAGCGGAGCTATCTCAGCCGATAGGCTGCTTGTTATTTTTTAATATGCCTACTCATAATTACCTTAAATGGTGCTTCACCCTTCCCTTTCTATTGACCCTTCTATTGCACATGTAATGTGATGTAATGGCATTTTTTGTAATGTATGTATGTTACTACATGTTCTGATAAGTACTGTTAGATTTGATTTGTTATCACATTTACATGCAACCTGTAGTTTTTGTGGCTTATACGTATATGTTATCTATGTGTGTTCTGTATAAGGGTGTTAGGTGGCTGTTCTGTGTGGTATAGAACTAACAATATATCTGTAGTTATTATTGTCATCGTGTTTTGTTGAAAGTGACCTGGGTCATGGTTCAAATCAGCAAGGTCAACAAAAGAAGAGCTACTTATGAATTCAGAAAAGAAGGTGGTGTACAAGAAGAAAAAAAGAAACAGTCAGTGAATTTTAATGTTGTTTACTTAGAATCGATGATCATAAGTCCCTCATGCAAATCATTTAATTAATAATGCCCTAGGATGCTGAAAACTCAGTTACAAAGAAATCAAAATTTCTCAACCATCTACGAGAGGTACGGTATCCTGCAAAAGAACTATTACATGTATGACAAATACTTGTTATGTTGTAGGTGTTAAACAAAATGTAGTAGACTGTACAGCTTCAATAATGACTGTATTCGTGTATAATACAAGTGACATTTTGCATATGGTCTGACAATATCTCTGCTTATCAGTAACACATATTTAGTGAACTTTTAATGATCACAAGTCTTCACCATGTCAGTGAATGTTTGATGTTCAGTACAATATACAGGATGCAATACAAGTTTTTCTTGCAGTATTTATTAGACGTATCGAGAAGTTGTTTATGTTTGTATCGTCAGTATTTTGTGAAAGAATTACCAATTATGCAATGTATGGTGTTTTGACGTTGTGATGTGAAAGCATTGTAAGATAGTGTAGTGGGATCTTGTATGTATGCATGCTGAGTGCTAACGATAAGTGTTGAGGGAAAACGATACATGTTGAGTGCTAACGATAAGTGTTGAGGGAAAACGATACATGTTGAGTGCTAATAATGCGTGTTGAGGGAAAATGATGCATGTTGAGTGTTAACAATGTTTGTTGAGGGAAAATGATGCATGTTGAGTGTTATTAATGCTTTTTGAGGGAAAATGATGCATGTTGAGTGTTAACAATGCGTGTTGAGTGCTAACGATGCATGTTGAGGGAAAACGATGCATGTTGAGTGCTAACGATGCGTGTTGAGGAAAAACGATGCATGTTGAGTTGATTTCATGTGTGCTGAGAGTAAATGATGTGTATGGGAAATATAAGCATTCTCACAGATAGCAGCTACCCAACTTCTATTCAGAAATTGATTTTCTGTTTTTTTTATCAAAAGTATTAACAAATACAGGATTTACATTCAATATAAATTG